TCCTTTTAACTTGTAACCTTAAATTACCTTAGTTCTATTAACCTCCTAATAGTACGATTACCTATTAATTGATTAACTAAGATTTATCTTTAAGTAGTCAATTCAACAACAACAATAATAATAATAATAATAAAGACAATTATAATTGATAAATAACATTAATATCATAAAATCAAATAAGAGTTCAAAATAGGTTAATCACTAGAATCCACCTCTCATGACAAGAGAGGTTTAGTTACAGTCATAAAAATAAAAATAAATGCAACTAAATACAAAATATCCATAATCACAAATAATAAGGAAAAAAAAAAGCTTTTGCAACTAATCTGCTTTGATAAAAGCACAACTCTGTGATGGAGAAGGAAGGAATAAGAGGAGCTTAAGATAAAAGGTTTAGAGTTCTAGTGTGTAGAGATGGTAGGTCAAATGTTAACGATGAAGTGTTCTTTACCAAAGAGAGTAGGACCTTTATATAGAATGCAAAATCCAAAATTTTATGATTTGATCTTAAAAAGATATGACTTTTTGTTGTTAGATTTGAAATTTAGATATAAAGTCAAAATTTAAATTCAAATTTAAAATTCACTTATGCTTTACTCATTTTAACAAAATTTTTTCATTATTTGACTTATTTTAACCAAGTTATACTGTCATCACTTCTTACAATAAAATCAAAAAAAGCTTAACCAATTCAAATGAAAAATAGGCTAAAATATTACATAATAACAATTTATCAACACTCAATTTAGTTCTTAAGAGAGAAAGATTGTGTACTTATTAATTACATAAGTATCTTATAGAACACTTAATGTCACATATGAGTAAATTTATTAATATTAAATAAGTAGTGTTAAGTAGAAACTAAAACCATCGATAAAATACACTTTTAAGAAATATTTTTATTAATATTTTTCTTTTTAAAAACAAAAATAACTAACATATTTGAAAACAATTTAAAAAAAAAAAGTTTGATCTAAAGTCAAATATCCAACTTAGGTCAAACTATTTTTATGACTAGCACTTCGCCTAGATTTGCTGTGAAAAGAATCACTAACTAGACTCATGTCAAACTCGATTACAACCCTAAGCATCAATTATTGCACAAATACCCTTCTATTACCTAACAATGATGACACATTGTAAATTTTATTGGACACATCATACATGCTGAATAAACATTGGACATACTTTCATACGTAAAAAATTATAGTATCATATGCATATGTAACAAATCCACCTTAGCTAATGATGCTTATATACATAAAAGGAACCCGTTGATGTATGTAATTTGTTTTCATTGTTTATACTTTTATTTTGGCTAAAATTTTACTAACTTGGGAATTGGAGTGTTTCTTAGAAGAAAATCAGTCTTTGAAAATCATTAAAGTATTGTGAATGGACCCTACTCAATACCAAGAGTTTAAGGCTGCTCTTAGTACTCAAGTACTAACCAAAATTTTAAATTTTTAAACTAAAAAATATATAATACATATAAAAATAAATAAAACTTAAGATAATGAATTTATTTCAATATATCATTTTTTTTCATTTTAAAGTTATCTAAATATTGAATCTTTATTAAAATTTATTTTTTTTATCTTTCTTCCTTTTTTAGAAGAAAATTTACCCTTAAACAAGTATTGAGAGACCAAAATTATAGGTAATAACGTGGTTAAATTTATATTTAATTAGTAATAAATTTATGTTTATTTTAATATTTTTTATTATGTTTTCGAGAGATTTACATTTATAAAATTTTGAATTTAAATAAACATTTACTCAAATTTAGGAGGTCTTTACATGCATCATTTACGTGTTCACTATCATGGTAGTCTCTGCCGGTGACTTTGGGGCATTCATCGTTTATCTGACGTAACCATGACTCATGGTTTGCCATTGCAAAATATTGGACTTTTTTTCCTTATCTTTTTTTTTGGGACTGCACATCGTCAAAATCAAGTAAGTAGATGTCAAATCTCAGGGGAAACGCAACCAATAAATAGCTTGGCTTGCTTTATTGACTTCCTTCACGTGTTATTAACATCAATAGCTTGTACTCGAGTTTTTTACAGGAATATTATAAAAAACTTTAGTCCATTTATTTACCGATGTAGATTTAATTTCAGTGTAAGCTATTGGCATAGAACCAAATTCTGAGTTTCTATTTTTATTTTTTTTTATATTTTAATATAATAAAATAAATATTATTATTTAAATTATATTTATATATTTATTTATTTATATTTTATTAAAATAAATATTTTCTTAGTTATATATAATAAAATAAGGTTTATTTATTATTTAATTTATGTTTATATTTTTATATTATTTAAAAATAAATAAAAATAATATTAATATTAATTTTAAATATGTATTAAAATTTATTTGACAGATTTAAGATAATAAATAGTATTTAGATTTTTTATTATATTATTTAATATAATTTTAATTTTTTGAAAATGATATTAATATTTTATTCTAAAATTATATTTTTAGTTATTTAATATTGTATTTATAAAACAAATTAAAATTACAATAATAATTTATTTAATTTTATATATTTATAAATAAATAAAAGTATTAAATCATAACTAGTTTATTTATTTATTTTGAAATATTAATCTTTATTAAAATTTATACATAATTATTTATTTAAAAAATATGTTATTAATATTAATAAATATAATCAAACAATATTATGTAGATATATTATATATATAATTATATATTTAATATAAATTACAAATATTAAAAATTTAAAAGTTGCAATAACATTCATAAAATTTAAAATAACATTAAAAAAAATTTAAAATAATAATAACAACATAAATTAATGGTAGAAACTAGAAGCTTGAGCGATATTTGAACATATCTTTCTTGTATGACCAAGAATATGACAATAAGAACAATTTTTTGTTCGACTTTGTTATTCTCTAATGTTCATATCTGTTCTTATCCTATTGGACTTGGGTCGACCCTTTAAAGTTCTTTTCAATTCTAGATTTGGACACAAAGTTGAGCCCGTGTAAGTTGGTCAATAGTCTTCGTGTCTTAGTTCTCCAAACTGACCTTCGTATACCTTAGAAACTTGTTGTAAGGTATACACAAGAGATATGTAGATGTCAAAGTTGTGATGTGTGTATAAACATGAAGCAAGTACATGAGAACATAAGATGTGAACTTTTTGAAACTTGCTATAATTTCACCACATCACAAATGTCGTCATCGTTGTGGAACTGACCACTATTACGGAGATAGTTAATTATTAATGTTGTTATAAATTTGTTATTATCTTTATTAATGCATTTTGTCTTCATCAATGTTACTTTAGTAACATGAAAATGTTTATTTCAAAATATTTGTCTCAACTATAAATAATTAATTTATAATTTAATATTTTATTTGTTTTTTAAAAATATATTTTTTATTTTCAAATAAAATTTATTCAAAATTATAATAGTAAAGTTTTAGAGTTTAAAAAGGTATTAAAAATTTTAATATTAAATAATGTTATTTTTAAAAAAACTAACTCAATTAAATAAAATTTTTATTCAAAATATCATTTTATCATACTAATATTTAAAAATATTAAGTCAAAATTACATATTTAAATAAATAAATAAACAGAATAATATTTAATATATTTATTTAATTTTTAAAAATAAATTTATTATTCTTTAAGTATAAATAATCTAACCATTAACATTATTATCTAAAGTAATATATTTATGATTTAAATATTTTATTTATTTTTTAAAATTATCTAAAATAATTTACTTATTATTTAATTATTTTAATTAGTTTTTAAAAATTTAAAAATTAATAAAAAGTAAATATTATTTATTATCTTAAATATGACAAATAAATTTTAATAAGCATTTAAAATTAATATTAATATTATTTTTATTTATTTTTAAATAATATAAAAATATAAACATAAATTAAATAATAAACCTTATTTTATTATATATAAATAATAAAATATTTATAAATATTTATTTTAATAAAATATAAATATATATATATATATATAAATGTAATTTAAATAATAATATTTATTTTATTATATTAAAACATAAAATAAAATTAAAAAAAAATAGCAACTCAGAATTCGGTTCTTAAGATGCCAATAACTTGCATTGAAATTAAGTCTACATCGGTAAATAAAATAACTAAAATGCTATTTGAGTAAATTTTTTTTTTTTACAATATTCCTGTAAAAAAATTCGCTTGTACTCATCATTTTATTTAAATTAATTTTACATTATATTTTAAAATAAAATAAAAATTTATTATTCTAATACGCTCATGAGAAAAATATCATGTTTCTAAGAATTAAAATTTTATTAAAGTCTTTTAAAAATATGTAAATTTACTTATTTTATCAATTTTATTGGAGCCAAATAAGATAACGAACAACAAAATAATTTTTTTTGCTAGTAATGAACAACAAAATATTCAACCTATGTACTTAATATCAATACGTATTCAAAACTTAAACTTAAGATTGTTGATTAAAACATAACAATTTCATACTAATTCATGTATTTATTGTCTAAGCCTAAAAAATAATGTAAAATACGAAAATTAAATTGGTGTTACCCCATCTTTGTCAATAGTCCTCCATAATCATTATTTAATTCAATTAGCATTTCTAAAATATAAATAATAAAAAATATTAATTTCAATTATTAAGATTAAATTTAAGTAATTAATAATGATAAAATTTTATTAAAAAAATATTTATTATTCTTTTATATCTTTAATATAATAAATATATTTTTAATAAAATTTTGCTAATGATATTATTTATTAATTAAATAATGTTGATATTATTTATTAATTAAAATTAGAATATTATTTCTATAATTTATAAATAACATTAAAATAAAATAAAACCTTAATTTTAAGCGAGGTAACTAAGGGGCAAAACAATAATATAACTTGGAAAAGTACAGTGTAGAATGGATGATTGGTGAGAGACGGTGATGAAAGGATCCATGGATTCGATGAAGCAAATGTTACTGTTGATCCTCCTTGGCTTCCTCAACTTGGATACTGGTAAAGCACAGAGACAAAACTCTTCCCTCTTCCCAGTCTATCTTCACCAAAACTGTTCAGGCGCCAACACCACCGCCAACAGTGCCTTCCAACTAAACGTAAGGACCCTCCTCACTTCCTTATCTTCCAACGCCACCGCGCAATTCCTCAACACAACCGTCGCCGGAATATCCCCCTCCGACAGTGTGTTCGGACTGTTCATGTGCAGAGGCGACGTGCCCCCTCCTCTGTGTGGACAGTGCGTTGTGAACGCAACGCAGCGTCTCCTCTCACAGTGCTCCCTCGCCGAACAGGCCGTTATATGGTACGACGAGTGCATGGTTCGTTACTCCAACCACTCTTTCTTCTCCACCGTCGACACCAGGCCCCGTGTTGGCCTCCTCAACACCGCCAACATCTCCAACCAGCAAGCCTTCATGCGCATCCTCTTCCGAACCATGAACACAACCGCTGACATGGCTGCCAACTTTTCTATTGGTGCCAAGAAATATGGCACCAAGCAAGCCAACATTTCTGGGTTTCAGTCTCTCTTCTGTTTGGCTCAGTGCACCCCTGATTTGTCGCCAAGAGATTGTAGAAGGTGTTTGAGTGGTGTGATTGGGGATCTTCCTTGGTGCTGTCAAGGAAAGCAGGGTGGAAGGGTTCTTTATCCAAGCTGTAATGTTAGGTACGAGCTCTACCCTTTCTATCGCGTCACTGCTTCCCCACCATCGCCACTTCTTCTTCCTCCTACAGTTCCTGCTAATTCGGGAGGTACTTGCTTTCAAGGCTTTTATTTCACGGTTTCATATGGGGTGAAGTTGGTTAATTTTGTTATTTACCTTTCACCCACAAGTATATATATTGCAGGGAATGGTGGGATCTCGGCAGGGACTGTTGTTGCAATTGTGGTTCCAATCACGGTTGCTGTTATTATATTTATCGTTGGCATTTGTTTCTTAAGTAGAAGAGCGAGGAGGAAGAAGCGTGATTCTGTAAAAGAAGGAAAGAGTATGGACTCGTGTGAATCGAAAAGTTTTTTCTTTCTTTTTTGCTTGTTGCTCTGCTCTCTCTTGTGCTGTAATTTTATCTTAGACATTTGATTTGGCATTTTAGCTGCACACGACATTAGCACTGTGGAGTCCTTGCAATTCGATTTCGGTACAATTGAAGCAGCCACGGACAAATTCTCTGCGGATAACAAGTTGGGGGAAGGTGGATTCGGTGAGGTTTATAAGGTAAGGCACTAAGTTAGTATAGTTTTTTGTTACTATGTAAGAAGCAAATAAGATCGATCTACACATGTATCATTTAATTTTATATGGGAAATTCAGGGCACTCTTCCAAGTGGACAAGAAATAGCTGTCAAGAGACTCTCCAAAAGCTCTGGGCAAGGTGGAGAAGAATTTAAGAATGAAGTAATGGTGGTTGCCAAGCTTCAACACAGAAATTTAGTGAGGCTTCTGGGATTTTGCTTTCAAGGAGCAGAAAAGATACTTGTTTATGAATATGTGCCCAAAAAAAGTCTGGACTATATTCTCTTTGGTAGGTCCATCCTTATGAATTCTACACTCTGCATGTTCAGTATATACACAATTGTTGCCAAACTACAGTAAGTTATGTATGATTTAACACAGTTGGGCACTGGAGTAACAGTAATCTAGATAAAACCATATTAAATTTTATGCTTTCACTTTTATTTGACATTTTTCGTATGACTTGAATATTTTGTCCAATTTGTAGATCCTGAAAAACAAAGGCAGTTGGATTGGGCAACACGGTTCCAGATTGTTGGAGGGATTGCTCGAGGCATTCAATATCTCCATGAAGATTCTAGACTTAGAATTATACATCGTGATCTTAAAGCTAGCAACATATTATTGGATGGAGAAATGAATCCTAAAGTCTCAGATTTTGGCATGGCAAGAATATTTGGAGTTGATCAAACTCAAGGAAACACCAGCAGAATTGTAGGGACTTAGTAAGTACAGATTTCATGTTTCTTGAAACACTGGTTTGGCGCCGGTTCAAGAGGAGGCTGCTAAAGCACATGCTTAGGCTTCCTCCTTCTGTAACATATATAGTTAAAATATAAATTAATAAAAAATTATAATAAATTTACAAATATTATTAACGATTAATATTTTTTATAAAAAAATTAAAAAGTTATATTATTAATTGATGGGTAATAGTTAGAGGTGGTTTTCCTAAAAACAAAAAGACATGCTCTTTTAAATTAATATAATTTTTTTATAAATTAGATTCTTTTATCTTTTAAAAATCGGCCTCTTATTATAAAGAAAATGGACCTTTTATCAATTAATTTTTTAAAATTTTATCTTATAATTTGCTTTAGGTTTATGTTGGGATGACCCTGCTGGTTTGTATACTATGCTGACAGTTATGTGGTGATGATTCAATATATGTTATATGCAGCGGTTACATGTCTCCAGAATATGCAATGCATGGAGAGTTCTCTGTTAAGTCAGATGTGTACAGTTTTGGAGTCCTCCTTATGGAAATTATAAGCGGCAAAAAGAATAGCTCTTTCTACCAAACAGAAGGTGCTGAGGATCTATTGAACTATGTAAGTAGAGATGATATTTAGCTTCCTTGGCTTAATTCATCCAAATTGTGTTCTTCGAATGAAAAGGAAAATGATGTGGTGCTCACACCGTGACGATCAAATTTTGATGTAGGCTTGGATGCTTTGGAAGGATGGAGCACCCTTGGAGCTGATGGACCCCATATTAAGAAAATCATATACTCAGAATGAAGTTATCAGAAGCATTCATATTGGTTTGCTCTGTGTCCAAGAAGATCCAGCTGACAGACCTACAATGGCGGCAATAGTTCTTATGCTAGACAGTAACACTGTTACTCTACCAACTCCTAAGCGGCCTGCATTTTTCCTTAATACTGATTCAAACATGCCAAAGGAGATGCAAATTGATGAATCTATAACAATGTCAGTACCAAAGTCAGTGAATGAGATGTCGGTCAGTGAAATGGATCCTCGATAAGCATGAGTTCTTGGAGGTTTTAATACGTATATTATCCATGTGGTTATTAGTCATAGTTTCATATGACAGTATTTCGAAATCTTGGAACACTTTGTGCTGTAGTGAACCTAGAAGGATGTAGTGTTGTTAAAAACTGGTGTTTGTAAACCCTAAACCCTAACAAAGTTTAAATTATGCACCTGTTTATGATTTCTTGAATTGTAAGATTTCTTCAATAGTATGAAGACTGTAGCGTATCTACATTGAGACTAATCCTTTGTGTCAATTCTTTGACTATGGAACGATCACCGACAGAGTGAAACAGATGAAAAAAACTTTGGGTCTTGTGTTTTCTTAGTGTAACATGAGTAGTAACTTACTTGATATATATAATAATATATCTGTGTCAGTTAACAATCTATGGGCTCATGTTTAAAATCAAATTTTTAGTGTTTTGCTTATTGCTTAATTATTTTGTAACCGTCAATTGTTGCTTCAGTATCTTGTAATGATCAATTGTTTTTTTCTCCTTTTGTTGATAACTATTGACAGATATATTTTAACTTTTGAATTTTAGTCGATCATCAAAATTACACTGTATTGTTACCCTATAATTAATATCCTTGGTTCTAGCAAAGAATATATAATAATATTTCATTTAAAGGAAACTTTATATATTTGATAAAATAAATTCTATAATTTAAATCATCTAATAATAAAATTTTTTTTTTTGTAAAATTAAAACACTCGTTAGTGTGTGACCTCGTTGGTTCAATATCAAGCCAATAATAAATTAATAATTAATTTATTAATCCAGGTTGGTGTTTAGAAACATTCCTCAACATTTGGATAGTAATATTTTACTTTCAAGAACTGTTAGAAAATAATATAACATTTCCTTCCATCCTTACAGCCTTGAATTAACTTTAGAGTGAGGTATAATTTGTCAAAACTTTAATAAGTTAATTTATCATGATTGACTAGAGAAAATTCATTTCTTCTTTCATTCAATTACTTGGGCAAGTCTTAATTTTTAATAGAGCTCAAACTCATTATCTAGAGTTGATGAATTCTTTCTTGAACTATAATTAATCCTACAAGTATTCAATTATATCTAATATCTTTTCAACTAGTACTCTAAAGTAATAGGTGTTCAGAATTAAAATATAATAAATAACTTATTGATCACTATGATAATATCAGGTCAAAAAAAATTATATATATTTTTTAAAAAAATTTCTATTGACAATTTAAGGTAATATTAATCATAAAAAAAATTTTCAATTTGAGTCAGTTTAATGACTACATACATATGTACGTCATCTATATATGTAAATTAATAAATGAGATCTATTAATATTTATCTAATAAAAATACTATCACATATATATTGATCCTTTTAAATTATTCATGTTTTATTTATAATAGTCCTATGATAATAACAATTTATATTAAATTATACTAAACATGTTTCTCATTTTCATAATAATTATTATGATAACAAATCTTTAATTTAATAAAAAAAATTATCAAATAAATTATTATGTCAAAATAATAAATATAAAAAAAAAAATAATACTTTATTATTATAACTGAAATAAAATATATGATAACTTTAAGTCTTGTACACGTAGGCTTATTCCCTACACGTAGAAGGATTTGAAAATTATGCATACCCATTGCTGACCATGCAGCATAGAACTGTGAAAGTCAACCAATCACTATCTGGCTAACAGATAGAGATATTCTGATTCATCATTTTTTCCATAAAACATACCGCACTGATATTTGCCACCACAGTTCTTTTCTCCACCAATTATTAAGAAATAAGATGGTTAAAAGTAGCTTTAAAACTAACGAAGATTTTTTTAAGAGAAAAGTTTAATTAGTGGAGCTTTTATTTCTCTATTTTAAAAGTGCTCTATTAAGATAATAAAATCATGAGTACAAAAAGCTTTTAACTCGTTGCTAACTCAACATGATGTTTTATATATAAAATCTCGCTTTCGAGTCTCTCCTTCATAATTGAGAGTGCACAACAACTAGCAAAGTCATTAAGGACACACAATTAGAAAAACAAGTGATGAGAGGGGAGGGAAAGGATGTGGCTCATCCATGGTGGTTGGGGTAGTTGGATATTTTCGACACTATTCTATTTGATTAGTATAGCCATTGGTCAATACTAGGATCGCTTTATTGACGTGTGTAGCAGGCCGTGTTGCAGCAGTTGTGACGTGCGAGGGGGGGCATTGAAATTTAAAAGTGATTGCACACGTCCATTTTACCAAACTGTTCTCCTTCTTTTCCTGTTGAGACTGCATGCCATAATTGCCATTGCAAACGAGGCAGTTAAAGCGATCGAGCCTGTTCAGTGTTCAAACAAAACACTCCACAAATTACTACCTCAACTCCAACGCTTCCCTCCACAATGGTTTTGTGTTATGACTCGGCAACAATTGAAGCTGCCACACACAGCTTCTCAGATGATAACCAAATCGACCAAGTTGGTTTTGGTGCAGTTTATAAGGTGATTTTCCACCTTTTGTACTGCAATAGTTACATTCTTCTTAATCTTGCGCACTTCATTGAAGTAAAATTCTATGTTTGAATTTAGTGTATGAATATGAAAAAAGTTCAATTAGAAAAAACAATTAATTACTGTCCTACAAGATATTCCCCAAGTCAACACAGCAAAATTTCTTCACCGTGTTTATAAAATTTATAGATATACAGATTATCTGTTAAATTAGTTTTTATTTGAGAATTAATTTGTGATAGGGTATTGTCTTTGAAAGTGGCCAAAGCAAATTTGATATGTGTATGAACTTAAGTAAAGTTTGCATGATAGCAGCCAAAGCAAATTAAATGAGCAAGTTGTTAGGTTAACGACTCCCAACATTAATTAATATTATATACACGGATACTATTAGATTAAAATATTTTTAACAAAAGAATTAAGAATATATTATATAAATAATTTTAAATTCACTAAATATTATAAATTAATTAAAAAATTTATTGTTAATAATAATAATTTGTTATATTAAATAAGCCTAAATTAAAGATATCAAACTTTTATATTTATGAAATAAATTATTAAAGAACTAAATTTTAAATTAAGATTAAATTGAAATAAATAAATATTAAATACAAAATAAGTCACATGATAAAATAAAAATATAATTTTTTTGAAAATACTCTTATTTAAAATTAAAGACTCATATTTAATATAGAGAGATAAATTATTACTCTTTCTATTTTTTCACAAGGCATATTTAACTTAACTCTATAAATAAAAAAATAGTTAACCTAATTAATTTTTTAAAAATAGAATCATATGATAATTTTACTCTATATTCAATATTATTGAGCCTTATCCTATTATTAACATTTTTTTAAAATCTAAATTTAAATTTGCCAAATTTATTTAAAAATTATACATAATAAATACTTCATAAAAATAAAAATATTCAACAAAAATTTCTAAAAAATGTATTATAAAAAAATATGAGCGTGTAAATTTCATTAACTGAGGAATCTAATTAAATAAAAATCTAAAATTTGTATAAAATCAGTAAAACTTAATTTAAAATTTAAAAATTTGAAGAAAAAATAAAATAAATGATTTGATAAAAAAGTAGTTATTAAAAAAAAAAAAAAAGTAAAAGTGATAAAATGTGAGTAGAAAAAGTAGGCATGGGTATTTCGCCGGGTCAAACTTAAGTTCATTCCAACCTCCAAACTGGGAAAGACATGGGCACGCATCCACCGCCCACAATAATAACAGCACACCCTTTTCTTCCCAGAAAGAAGAAAAAAAAAATATTGATGATCCAAATTGAATCTCAACAATGGTTATCTCAAAACAGAACCTGAGAATCCTCAACGCGCTTCTCTCTCTGTATGGGTTATTAAGCTTCCCAACGAAAGCAGAAGCAGCTCCTACATACATAGGCACTTACTGCAATGACAACACCACATACGCACCTCAAAGCAGATTAGGCGCCAATCTCAATGTCCTCCTCCATTCTCTCACCACCAACGCCTCCCAACAACAAGACGGTTACTACATGACCATCATGGGCTTCGGAACCACAGACGCCGTCAACGGCGTCTTTCTATGCCGCGGCGACGTCAACGCCACCACCTGCCAACACTGCGTTGCCGACGCTGCCGGAGAAATCACGCGCCGCTGCCCCAACCAAACGGAGGCCGTAATCTGGTACGAGGAGTGCTTGGTGCGCTACACCAACAAGTACTTCAAGTACTACAGCATCGTCCCCAGGTTGAACCCGCGGGACGGGAAGAACGTCTCTGGCGTTGACTTGGGAAGGTTCAACCAATCATTGTTCGGATTGTTGAATGAGTTGGCGACGGAAGCGGCGAATTCCCCGTCGGCGAAGAAGTTCGCAACAGGGGAAGTGGAACTCACGAGGTCGCAGACGGTGTATGGATTGGGGCAGTGCACCGCCGACATAACCAATTATCAGTGTGAGACGTGCTTACGAAATGCCATCGGAACTCTACCCGCTTGCTGCAGCTCGCGACAGGGCGCAAGTGCTCTGCTTGCGTCCTGTTTTGTCAGATACCAACTGTACCCATTTTACAGTATGACCGCCACCTCTTCATCTTCTTCAGGTAATTCGTCATTTCATCTACTCAAGTATGAACCTATTGATAAATTTTGGCATGTTAATAATGAGTGTGATTGGTTTTAGGTTCAAATGCATATCCATTTTGCATTGAAATGCATATAAATTTACGTTTAATTATAAACAATATTAACAGTGTTTAAATTTTGCATATCATAAAATGTTGCACTAATTCATCTTTTCATAGACATGATGTAGACTAGACTCAAAACAAATTGAATACTTAAAGTTATTCTGAAATTAATCTCTAATATAAATACGAAAATTAATATGAATTTTATGTGATTACGACACAAAATTTATCAGAATGAACATACTTCTTATATCATTTAAATTTGTTCACATTATAATGTTTACACCCGTATACACCCTTTGATATTTCTTTTTGTTATTATCACATTCACTGAATATATGTATTGCTTTCTTTTTCTTCCACTTTTATCCCTCTCTTCTTTATACGTATACAGCTAAAAGAGGTATGAAATAATTTGTATCCTTTATCATATCTGTATGCAAGGTAGATAAAGTTCTGTTAACATTATTGTTTGGTCAATTATTTTATTGACAGAGCTCAAAACTTACCTAATTCAAATATTGTTGTGCAGGAAAAAGTAGAATTGAAACAAAAACGGTTCTCATCATTGTTTTCTTGAGCGTAGTTCCGATAATGCTCTTATTTTTGAGCTGTTATTGTGTACGAAGAAGATCGAAGATGAAACGCAGGACAATTCTAAAGGAAAACTGTATGTGATTTAAGGAAAATAGAACTGCTATATCTTTCTTTTTTTTTCAATTGCTGATGATTTTTTGCGTGCTTACATCAAAGATTCGTTTATTGGCTCAGTTGGGGATGAACTTAACACTTTAGAATCGTTACAATTCAATTTGGCTATAATTGAAGCTGCCACAAACAAGTTTTCACCAGAAAACAAGATAGGCAAAGGAGGATTTGGTGTTGTCTACAAGGTAACCCAATGGGATTAAAAGTATAATCAAGGATTTGTATGCTTATTTGTGTCATGGCTGACCAATCGACTATAATTTTAGGGTATACTTTTTGATGGACGACAAATAGCAGTAAAGAAACTCTCAAGAAGTTCAGGACAAGGTTCAGTAGAATTTAAAAATGAGACTTTACTAATAGCCAAACTTCAACACAGAAATTTGGTGACCTTATTAGGATTCTGCTTGGAAGAACAGGAGAAGATGCTTGTATATGAGTATGTGCCTAACAAGAGTCTCGATTACTTTCTATTTGGTAACAAACTTCTAGCTTTACTTTAAGTTATTTCTTTACTTTTGTTTGGACTTAGAATGATTGTTATGAAAAATATACTGTTTCTTTTAAAACTTTCTTTCAACTTAATAAGAAAAACTATTCCACACAATAGTTTCTTACCACAACCAATTTATGATGAAATTGTAGATCCCCAAAAGCAAAGAGTACTACAATGGTTTGAACGTTACAAAATTATTGGAGGAATCGCACGAGGAATTCTTTATTTACATGAGCATTCACGACTTAAAGTTATACATCGTGATCTCAAACCCAGTAATGTGTTGTTAGATGATAATATGAATCCAAAAATATCAGATTTTGGCATGGCAAGAATAGTTGCTATTGATGAAGAACAAGGAAATACTAATAGAATCGTTGGAACATAGTAAGTACTTCTACAATTAATTATTGTTCTCATATAAATATCTTATACACTAGTTAATATAAGTTTAAAATTAGTGTTTACTTGTACTATAATTATGCTATTTTATATAATTTAAAATATTTTTGCATGAAGAAGCAAGATAAAGTTCCAGAAGTTCTTGATTTTTCACTTAAACAAGTTCTTTAGGTTGATTTATTTTCTTTTCCTTAATATAAAAAATTAACTAAATTCTGTTATTAAATATTGAAAAATATGAAAATTAAAGCTTGTTATAAGGCATACACTAAAAGATCATTGTGATTGGTACCCAATGTACAAAATATACTATCTTTTATCTTTCATTTCAACACAACTCTAATATTAATAATATATTTTACAGTGGTTATATGTCTCCAGAATATGCAATGCATGGACAATTTTCTGAAAAATCAGATATATTTAGTTTTGGAGTCATAATTCTCGAGATAATTAGTGCTAAGAAGAATGCTCGTCCAATTGAATCACAAGATTATGATGACCTCCTAAGCATTGTGAGTATTGAAATCTGTTATAGTTTTTTCTCTGTGCTGATGCTCACATATACTATCATCTCTTTTGTTTGGAAAATAAGTAAAAGATGAGAATGATCCAAATTCTTAATGAATGAAATTTCTGCAGGCTTGGAGACAATGGAGGAATCAAACCCCCTTAGAAATACTGGACCCTGATCTAAAAGACTCCTTTTCTCATAGTGAAGTTATTAAGTGTATTCAAATTGGTTTATTGTGCGTCCAAGAAAATCCAGACGATAGGCCTAATATGGCAAAAATTGTGTCATATCTTAGTAGCCTTTTGGTTGAATTGCCACTTCCTCACGAGCCTGCATTTTCCATGGATATGGAAATGAAGCTAAACATGTCAACAATGGAATCGAGTTTGGATCAATCTACAAATAATTCGGCAGTATCATCAATCAATGACATGTCTAAAAGTCATTTTTTCCCTTGAATAACATGAGGTTGATCTTTTCGTGAAATGATTATTTATTTATTATATTTGACGCTAAAGTGCCATGGCTAGTCATTTGCTTTTCAATGGTTTGATTAATCCTATTTTTCTCACCTTTATTTTTTGAAAAAACAAAATAAGATGTCCTAAATGCATTCATCACTTCTGTTCCAGCTATTACAAGTACTAGTGATCAAAATGAGGCATGCTAGTTGATCATATCAGTGGAAAATAGATTGTAGACCTTAACCTTAAAACATTTATAAACACCAAAACACAAATTGATGTTCTATATCTATGTGAAATCCAAGCCATAGATAAATCACAACTTAGCAAGTTAACTTGACCACTAATCTTTCATGATTAAAAAAACGATTTTAATTATTATATATCTTTTATAATTTTAAATATCTTGAAAATGATTTTAAATGAATCAATTTTACAAGCTTTTTTATAATTTCAAACATTTTTCAATTTTCCAAATATTCGTATAATCCACTAAGTACTTCCAAATATTCATGTTGGGTTTACAAACTCTGTAGGGTGAAAAGTTTGAAGCTGCTAAACTTCGCAAACTTTTATTTTCTGTTTTACTCTAGATTTATCTTAAATTATTTGCTGTCTTAAAATATTGTTTTTAATAGTAATTTTTATCAACAAATCACTGCATTAACAATTTAAGTAATTAAAGTGTAAGTAAATGATTAATATACTCTAATTGATTAATAGGAATAATTTAGTGAAATCAATTTATTTTAATATGATAATTACTAAATTTATTATATTTTTAAACTACGTATATTATTACTAAGTGACATGTAAATAAGAAAGGAGGAATATCTAACTATGCAAACTTATTGATATATGAGAATATAAAAAAAGAAGAAGATAATATACGTGTGTAAAAAAATAAAAGGAAAAAAAAAGGGGTGATTGAGATGAATTTTGATAATTAATTATTTTTGCGTAAGGGGTAAAAAGAACGCTTTAATGAAGAAGTTTCGGGACAAAACTAAAAACGTTTTTAGTCTTTTCCTGAAAATTAGCCAAAAAGGGGCAAGCCGACCATTTAATTCGGTTCTTGCTAACTTGCTACCTGATCCTACAGTTCTCTTCCTCCATAGACACGACAATACGAAATATTTATATTTTAAATAGATATAAATTTATATAATATCATATACAATAAAATGTATCGCATAAAAATAAATAAATTTTTAAATTATTGAAATATAAAAAATTAAATAAAACATATTAATACTTAAATCACATAAATAAATATTTAAATTATAGGAGGATAAAAAATTTATTTGAAATTATATTAATGTCTAAATTATAAATTAAATATTTATATTATTTGGATGACAAGTTTACATATAAATATTTGTATCACAAAAATAAATACATACAACATACTAGAGTTAAAATACATAAAAAAAAATATATCTTTATTTAAATTATACAAGTAAATAAATATCATTTTACAGTTATTTATGAAAAGAATGTTTGTATTCTATAAAACATATTAATGTTTAAAATAAATAAATAAATATTTAAATTATAGGAGAATAAAAATTTTATTTTAGGGTTTAGGGTTTTTATTCAAAATATTATTATTTTATAATTTTTTCATAAACATGAAAAAGATTGTTAGTGCTCTAAAGAAGGAATCAATAATGAAAAAAAAGTAAAAAAATTATAATAACTAAACATTTTTCTCTAATTTTTAATTCAATGTAACACAATTTTTAATAAATATTTTGTTCTTTTAAGTTCTCAAACAATGTCTTAAAGACAATGATGATTAACAAGATTATTTGTAATTTATATTTTAATATGTGATATTAATATTAAAAAGTTATTTATAAATAAAATAATTTGATAATAAATTTAATTTTTTTATATTTTCTTAAGAAAAAGCTTAATCATTTTTATATATAATTTTAACTTATAATCCATACATCACGCAGGTCTAGTGTATATGGACGATTAGACCCACAAACACACACACATAAGTTGGGTAACAGAGACGAGAATTATTCATGTCCACATGTTGGTTGCCTGGATCGGCATCAATAAATCCCTAAATCTTGTTGGCGTTTTCTAGACAATAACACCTATTTTTACTCATAAAGATATCATAACATAATAATGCTTATAAATAAATAAAATTTTATATAGAAAATGTAATAACTTGCTTGTCTTCGTAGTTTCTAATAATTTTCAACATTATTTTAAATAAAAAATGATTTGTTAAACCTGATAAAATAAATGCAGACGCTAACATTTTCTGTTGTCTCCCTCAGTCTCATTAAGAAAGCACTTTCCACCTAAATCCTTTTAAATATCTCACTGCTTTCTCTTGACTTGGCCTTGCGCTCATCGCCTCAACTTCTGCTCATTCTTTTACAGCACAAAGGTTTTGCCTTTTCTCTATCCAAATTTCAATCCTTCTTCTTACTGTCAAATAATTTCTTTCTCCATGATGAATGGAGCACATTGTATGTGCTTTTTCGATTGTTCTCTCGTAAAAGATTTTGTTTCTTTGAATTTTTCTGTTCGTGTTTCTGGATAGCTATGCTTCTGGGTTTTTCTAGGGTTTGTTTTGGGGGCGGAAATAACAAAATGAACCATTACATTATTTCCTTTCCTTAAAATTTGTTGTTTTGCATTTTTAAGGTAATTTGTGTTTGCTTTTCTGGGAGTATTTGCCTGGCGGTAATTCTTCTGTAACCTTATTTTTAAATGATTCTGTTATCCGCTTTTGTTGAATTTTTCTTTTGAGACGGGTTACGCTTTCAGAGACCCTCCTTTCCCTTCAATTTTATGCTATTTATGCAAAGATGTTTATGAATGGTGCATAAATGTTGCTCCGTTAAATAGTTTATCTTGCTGCTTTTCATTTCTTTGGAGTTCTTGAGTTTTCAACTGAACATGTGCTTTGTTGTACGGGCATTTCAAAGGAATGTAGCTCTTTATTTTTTGTTTTTAATTATATTATTAATATTGCCTTTTTTAGTGTATATATATACATTGCTGATTATTCCTCACTTAGTTCCTTAATCATTTCTGATTGAAAGCAGGTGCCCTGGCCTAACCTTGCTATTTGAAGAAGATAAATTTAGGAGTTTCCAAGTAAATTAAACATGATAAAACGGTCGCCAAGTAGGAACCCTAGATCCAAAGGCATCAAGGTCAAGCATGTTCTCCAGATTATTCTGTTGCTTGGTATTTGCTTCTGGTTGATATATCAGGTTAAGCATTCCCATGATAAGAGGAAGGAGTTTGATGACAATGATGCAAAAGTGTCGGCCAGAACTCAGACTGCTCATCAGACTCCGAAACTTGGTAGAAAAGATCTTCATCCACGGAAGGATGAAGTAAATCAAAATGAAAAGCACGAGGAAGAAGAGGAGGATGAGAATATTGTAGAGGATGAAGATAAGCATGTACACAGTGAACATGAAGAAGAAGGAAATGAGCATGAATCTGAAGAAAAAGATGACAACAAGCATGGGATGAGAGGAGGAGAAGAGGAAGATGAAAACAAAAACAACGAGATGGAAGATGAAAGAGGGGGAGGAGATGATGAGATTGATGAGAATGATCAAGAGCAATTAGCAGTGGATACTGATCGTGACGAGGAGTTCATGGATGAAGAGAATGAGAAAGAGGAGAGTGATGAGAAGGAGAACAAAAACAGTCATGAAGCTCGTGAGGAACATTACAAGGGGGATGATGCTTCCAGCGCTGTGAGTCATGACAGTCACACAACTGGCACCGAAACTGAGACATTTAGTTTAGAAAACTCTGATGCAAACTCAGAAATGAATATGACTAAATCAGAAAACAGGGCTAATTATACAGAGGAAAATAACAGGAACCAACATAGTTCAAATTTTAATATTACAGATGTTGAACTTGCTGTTGTTACTTCTTCCAATGCAACGTCTGATAAAGAAACTGGAAGCAGCAGTTTGACCAACACAGTGGATAACTCGAATCTAGACAATACTACCATAACAAATTCGGACAGTCACTCAGAAGCAAGAATTAATCTGACAGTAGTGATCCCTGGAAGTAGCAATAACATGACAGGAACCAGTGCCGATACTTCGTCCGAACAGAATAAAATGGTAAAATATTCTGAATCAAACCAGACTCAAAATGGTACTTTAAACACAACAATCACTGGAGATGTCAAAAATGGGCAGACAGAAGGATTAGAACAGGGTGGTAAAAGAGTCTCTGAAGAAAACCTTCCTGGTGCTAACTCAACAGAATCTGGAGATGCAACTGCAGGTGAATCATCTATTCTAGAGGGTGGTGAATTAGAAAACACAACGAGATTTGTAGCATCAAATGAAACAGAGATCAAGGGTAATACTGAAACGAGTGAAACAAACAAAACTCAGAATATTTCATATATGAAGGAGAACACTGATGCCACCACGGATGAGGAGTCCAAGGGTGACAAGCAAACAGATGAAACATCTGACTCATCTTCTGCGAAGGGAACTTCTGATTCAGTTGAACTTCAAGACACCGGTTCTTCTGATTCTCACATACTCAAGGAAGTGACAGAGGCCCGAACTGATCTGGATACGTTGCCAGACATTAAAATCGAAGGGGATAATAGTGACGCAACTGCAACGGACTAGAAAGATAGACGTGTGTTCTGGGAAAGAGTTAATGTAGTTTTTCTTTTGACCCATGTTATTTGAACACTTCCTGTTGACAAAATACATGTTTAGGCAAGATGACGGTACAAATGTAGGCTTGTTTATATTCATATCAAGGTCTGAATATGTATGATAAATTTCTTTTCCACTATCTATTGTTGTTGTTATCGTCTTTTTACTTGCCATAAGTGTTTTTCTTGTTGAATTGCTCATTATATCCAATCCAGTCGATTTCTTCTTACTAGAGTGGAGTACAGAAAGTAAATAATCATTCACATGAATTGTGGACATACGAATTTGATTTCCACAATGCGCTTCTGACCTTCTTCCTTGTAAAGTTTAACGTAAAAATTGAAAGCTTACATAGAAATGCTATTGGACGAAAATTGTTCACGAAATCCTTTGACAGCCTGAGCAACCAAATTAGACAATAGCAACCTTTCTATCAAACATTTTAAGCGCAGTGTGCTTTCCAAAATTGACACAACATGAAACCGACAAATTATTTAGTCCACTCTTCACTCGAGCCACGCTTGGAGTCAAATCCAAAATTTGTAATGCTTTTTTTTTTTTTTTTCTGTACAACTAAAGTCTGTAATTCATATAACTATTCTGTAATAATTAAGAGTGATCAACAGAGAATTCTAAAAAAAATTAATTTCAAATATGCCTTATTTAAGATTTTATAAATAATAAAATTTAATACATGACACTGATTATTCGCAAAAGATAAATTGTAAACTTTTTCCTGTACTAATTAAATTAAGAAAGCTATATTATTTTTAATGGAAATTGTAATTATGATTCTTTCACATCATTACAACTCAAAATTCCCTTCTTTTTCATTAAGATTTTGGAAATTGTTTACGAAAACTGAAATTCAATCCACGCATAAATTTCAATAAAATTGTTTTTTTATTCTTTTTTTTTTAAACAGGGCCAATGATTACATAAAACAAGTATAATTCTTATGTTAAGTCCCTCAAAAAGTTTTACTTGTTACCAATGTTTGTTTCTGAAAAAAAGTACTAAAAAGAAGTTAATGGTTAGTTACTATGTAACATTAGGAGTGAAGGATATTTTTATTAAATTAATCTTGAGGTCCTCATAGTTTTACCAGGTTTTTAAATAGCCCTATGGTATAAAAGCTTTTAACAAAGTCCTTGTGATTTTGGGAAGTTGTAACTCAATCATTAGAAAGTAACACCATCAACTCTCCATTAAATATTGTCCGTTTGTTTCTTTTATTTTTACATAACTAAGTTTTCCCAAAACATTGGTCCCCAAATATACAGAATGTTGTTGGGTGGGATTTGTGTTGCTAGGATGAAGGAGCGTTTTTCACAAGTTTAGATATGTATACTGTAGATTGCATACAATTTTTTTCCACTCTGTTGTGTGGTGCACGGCTTAAACAAGAAAATTGGTTACCTATAGGAGATTGAGTATGATATATCCCGTTTACTTTTTGCGAACAAAGCCACTTTTTTTAAAAAATCTTGGCGTTATGCGCAACCACGATTTAGGTGACAATAAGGCCCAGCATTCGTAGCTGTTTGTTTTGGGTCCACACTTTATTTTGAAACAAATCTGGTGCTGGGATGAAGCCATTGGATGACCCCGTTGTTTTTTTCTCATTAACTCTTTTCTTTTTGTTCACACAAAGGATGGTTCTTCTAATTTCCTAACACAAAATCACATTTTTATATAACATCAATGTGAAGTTTTATTGTGGTAAATTATTTAAATAAAGTTAATTTTACACAAGTTATGGAAAATTTTTATCTCATACACTGATTCGTTAGAGAATTTACAAAGAATCGTTCGAAATAATTTACACAGATCTAAATATAAGTCAACAAATATTTATTTTGATTTTGTTTCCTAATGTCCATGTACATTTGCTATCTGTCATTATTTTTAACTTAATCAGAGGGCAAAAGGAATTTCAGCCTATGTCCGTTACATGGAAATTTGATTTTCATTATATTATTAATCTTAATTTAGATACAGATTTCTTTACAAAATAATCCTACTTGTACGACTATTTTTGGTAATATGAATCTTACTATTTTTTAAGATACAATTGCATAATATTTGAAGCATAATTTCAAAAAAGATATCGCTAATCAATTTTTGGATCTGGATTGTCTCTAGTTTACACAAAAACTAGACATTCAGTTTATTTTTTGCTTAAGCGATACCAATTTATTTAAGTAAAAATGGGTTAATTTTACTTAAAATCGTGACAAAATAGCTTGAGCCAATTTTCATAAAATAAATAAATTAAGTGAAATAAAAAAGACTTAAGCGAAAAATAGCTTAAGCAAAAATGACAAGTTTAAGTAAAAAATGAACAGAGTTTTAATTTTCATTCCATCTTCTCTTCTCATTTTCTTTAAACCTAACATTTTCTCCTCAACCTCTATATTTAACCACCATATTCAACCTTCTTATTTCTTTTATAACTAACTCTTTTCTTTCTCTTTTCATTCTCACCTCACTCAATACATATCTCTCTCTTCTCTGTACTCAACTTTTTACTTTTCTCTTCCTACACCGTCATTCATATACCACCTGCTCTCCTTATCTACATCCATTCTTAGTCCTCTCTTTTCTCTACATCCAGCCTTCATATCTTCCCGTAAAATCTGTTTAAGCTAAAATAATTCGTTTAAGCGAATATGCACAAGCAAAAAAAAATAAAATAGCTTACTCTAATTTTGTGTAAAAAAATTTTGGCAGTGGTGGAGGAAGATAAAAGTGAAAAGTTAAGTATAGAGAAAAAAAGGAGAGATAGGTATTGGATGGGTGAGAATGGGAAGAGGAAGAGATGAGTTGGGTATGAAGTTAAAGGAAAAGAAAGTTAAGAGGAAAAGAGAAGAATTAGGTATAAGAAAAAGAAGAAGATTGAATATGAAGATCAAAGGAGATTGAATATAGAATTTGAGAAGAAAATGTTAGGTTTAAAAAAAAAAGAAGAGAAGATTGAGTAAAAATTAAAGCTCTCTGTCTATTTATTACTTAAACCTATCATTTTTGTTTAAATTATTTTTCGTTTAAGCTATTTATTTTATAAAAATTAACTCAAACCATTTTATTACAGTTTTAAGTAAAATTAACCTATTTTTATTTAAGCAAAAAATAAACTAAGAGTCCAATTATCACGTAAACTAGAGATAATTCGAATTCTCAATCTCTGATTAAGATGGTAAAAGTATTAAATCAAATTATAATCAATCAAGTAAAGCAAGACAAGTTTAGCATTCAATTTTCTTTTAGTTTATTTTATGGAAGTCTAATCCAAAGACGAATTAAGACACAGGTTGAAAAAAAAAAATTCTTTTGGCGAGATAATGTTGAAAATAATATGGGAACAAATAACTTGTCTGATCCGGCTTGAGCCAACCCATGTCCAAGAAATAGTATGCTCTTTAACCAAAACATAGGATTCTCAGGCTTCGATCTCACATCTCATCTTAATGTAATTCCAAGTTCCAACACACGAGACATGAATTGAAAGTTGAAATTTAAATTTCTGTACAAACTCTTCATCAAAATAAGAAGAATAAAAGAATACAAGAACCGATCCGTAAAAAAAAAAGTAAAAAAGAATTCAAAACTTTATGTTTAAGGTAAGAAAACGCCAAATAATTTCCCAAACTATACATCGCAACTCAAAAACCCCCCAAAAAAATTCGAGACTACGGTGGTTATCCTTAATCGCACGCAAAACGATGGAGAAGCGGAATCTACTGTCTCAACTCCTTTCGGAGTTTCTGAGAGAACAACTTGCAAGCGTCCATGCTCAAATCCATGGCCGCGGCAAGAGCAACGAAAGCCGCGGCATCCTCCGTGCAAGTCACGTGCTGCACCCCAACCTCCACTTCCGGCTTGCTACACTTCCCCTCACCATCCACCTTCGCCGACATCACAAACCCTTTATACAATATTTGCTGTACGAACCCGAAATCCGATCCCGACCCAGACCCGGTTCTTGACCCAGACCCGAGATCCCAGCTGCCGCGCGGAGTGTTCACCGGGGTGACGCCGGAGATCACATCGATGGTTAATTTCCCGCCGTGTTGGGAACTGATGGTGGAGGCAGCGAGAGTAACCGGGTCGGCGGTGGCCGGAAGGACTTCAAAGCGGTAACCGACGGCGTTGGAGTTGTTGGGTTCACGCCAGGCCTCGAGGCGGCCCCAAGGCTTCCACGTGCCATCACCGTCGGGTCGGATAATGAGCCAAGCTCCCGGGTTGGACCGGCTGACCCGTTGCGAACCGGGCGAGGGAACGAAAGGCGTGACCATGGACGCTGCCGCAACCGGCGAACCCGATAAATCGTGAACGGTGATGGACCACCCTTTACGCTCCGCTGTCAAATGGTTGGCACTTACCGAATGAAACTGAACCGGGTTTTTATCCCTGAAACTGAACTTGCAAGTGAAAACCGGTTGCTTTACGTCCCCTTTGACTTGGAAAACCTGCGGGCTGCACTCCGGTTCTCCATCGAACCGGAATACGAACCGAGGGTCCGGTTCGGCCCGGACCGTGAAATGCAATAGCTGAGGCGGCGAGTTGTGGCAAGTGTTTTTGGCGAGCGCGTGCCAACCGTTGTGGAACATGCAGGGTCTGGTGTCGGCTATGGTGAGATCGAGTGGCACCGAAATCTTTCCGAGTAGCTTGGCGGAGCTGAAGCCACACGATGTGGTGCTTCTTCCTTTGTAAACTGAAATCTGTATTTGGGGTTTCTTCGAGGCTTTGAGGATTTGCGCTTTGGATAAATCGAACGAGGCTGCGAGTGTGTGAGGGTGTGACTCCGTCTCCGATATTAGAGGCACTGTGGCTACGTTGCTTCCTCGATAGTCCACCCCCTTCAGTTTTATCGCGCAGAATAAGGGAGAACTCGAAGGGTGCACTTTGCCGGAGAAAGAGGGTTTCGACGACGCCGGCGATTTAACGGCGAGGTTTCCGACGAGGATCCGCACGAAGGGACACGGATCCATCCTCTGAAGGGGTTTACGTTTTGGGTGTTGTGTGAGGGAACAGAGAGAATTGAAATCGAATTAATAGCTAAGCATTGATTGGGGACTAAGGATTTTTATTGTAGCTGACAGAGTGAGAGAGGGTTCTCTCTTTGTTCATTATTATGGAAACTGAATGTGACAGCCTGTAACCCCGTTGTAGATTCATTATTTCCTTTTCTTCCTTTTTCATATCTGCTGGGGACTCCTCATTTCCCAACCTGTTATTCATTATTTCTTTTATTTTTTTCTGCTTTTACATTCTCTATCGTTACTTCCTTTTTCTAACTCTTAATAATTCCTTCTGTTTTAATTATTCAATTCTTTGTCTTATTTATTGCTCCTGTGTAATAGGAATATCGTGTTCACTATACCATTTAAATTTAGTAAAAGCTTTTTAAAATATATTATTTAAAACTTTAATAAGTGTTTATAATTAAATTTTAAGAAATAGTGTTAATAATTTTTAATTGTATTTTATAACTTTTTTCTGTTTTTATTTATTTTTTTAGAGGAAAAATAAACTCAATTATATATAATATTTATATTGTTCAAGTACCTTAATAATGATAAACTCAATGAAATAAATAAATTCAAATTTTAATTTTAATGAAACAATTCATATATTTATTCTGTATAATCTCTTCTTTCTATAAACAAATAAATAGAAAAATATATATTATTAAATAATAACTATCAAGTGTGTCCAAATTGCACGTAATTCCTATAGATCCAAACATTTCAATTCCCTACAGATTTTCCCCCTTTGAATAATTCGTAGGGTGGAACAATTTTTGTTCTTAATTGTTTGTAGGCTAATGAGTAAAACATTCTACCTTTGCAAGGTATCATAGCAAAAACCAACTAGTTAGTCAATATGACAATTTCTTTTTTGCAAGTAACATAGTGAACTTCGACTCTTGATTACATTAAGGATAAGATATGACAATTTAAATTTGATAATATATTTCAAATATTTGTTTAAGATATATATATATATATATATACATATATATCTATATATATTTTAAACGCTAAATCTTGATAGATTATATTTAATCACAGATATTTTAGATTTATTTTGGGCAAGTCTATCCTTGTCATTAAAAAAATAAAGATATTTTTTTAATAAAATAAAAATATTTTAAAAATATGTTTTATTCATTTGTTATTAAAACTTGAAATTAAGGTGACGAGTTTATATATAACCTAAAAGATGTGACATTGTTTTTAATAACGAGGCTACGAGAAAACAAAAAATTGAAAAGACAGATTGAGGAATTTAGAGCAGAAATTGACATGGGCGATAAATTGAAAGACAAGGGATAAAGCAGTCTGTGATGATAATTAAGGTAGCACATAAGCATTGGGCATGGAAGTGATGGAAAGGGAGAGAGAGAGAGAGAAGAATAAGGAATAAATATAATGGATTGGTGGTGGGTTAGGATTTGAGTGGAGCGAAAGGAGAGGGATGCAGAAGCACAAGAGGCATGAGCTGGAGGCAGAGAGAGCGCACGTACGGTAAGAGCCAGCAAAGAGTGATTGGGTAAGTTTGTCGTATTGGAAGTGTGTGCACGTACGCACACCCTCATCTCTTACGCCTATGTCGGGGATCCAACGTTGCCACAGCTGGCGTCTCCTATGTTCTGCATCTCGCAAATCAAAACGCTTCAGGTGTTATTATCTCGATCATGTGGGTCCCTTCTCTTTCATTTACTCTTTTTCTTTTCCCATTTTAAAACTATCCACACTCGTAAGGATAAATAAATACCATACAAGTCAGACAGAATACATTTCATCCCCATAATTTTCTATCTAAGTCCAATATGTAACCCAGTCAAAGCTTTTTTCTGTTGGATGTGTAAAAAATAAAATGTCAAATTTTAAATTATGGATTAGAGGTATTTTTATATCAAATCATAAAAGGATATGTAATGCCGAAACTATTTTTTATGGATAAGTTATCTAGTTCTCCAAACACCGATTAAATGGTAATGTATTAAAAAAAACATATATTTCATAGAAATCATTTAACGTTGGAAAAATTTTCGCATATTATCATTTCATTTGAAAATTTAATGGTAAGAATATAAGAAAATTGGTATATGTTTAGCCCATTTGCGGTAAAAAAGATAAATACTTTTAATTAATTAAATTGAATAAATATACAATATTTTCTATAATCAAAATAAATTGTAGATATGAAAAAGAAAATTTTTAAAATAAAACTATCAGATGTGCAAATGTCAATTTAAGGTTAGCATATGCAGAAAAGGAACATGGACTAAATATATAATGAACTAAAGACTCGTCAGCTTGTTGATTTGGATAACTAAGAAAATTAAGGGGTTGCTTTCTATTTTTTTGTTTTCAAATGTTAATACCAAGTATATTGAAAGTAATTTTTTTAGTTATGTATAAATATTACAAAAAAAAATAGAATAAAAAAACAGAAAATTTATTATTAAAAGTGAAAATAAAAATTATTTTTAGAAAGTAAACAAATTATAAGGCTCAAAACACTAAGTAAAAAGACATTTTATATAAATTTTTTACGTTAATTAATAACCAACCGATTTAATAAAAAGTATCGTGATACTTTTAAAAATAATAAAAAATTTAAAATTAGTTATAAAAAATACTTTTTACATTAATTTAAATTTAAGCATATGTGAAATTTATAATTTATAATTTTTTAAATAATAAAAATTAATTAATTAAATTTTATTTAATATAAAGTCAATATCTAAACTATCTTAATGTTACAAAAATATACTTGTTTCTTACAAAAATAATAAAGCAAAAAAAACAAAAAGAAGTACTGAGAAGTAAAATAACATAGAAAAATTTGGAAGAAAACATTGAAATTTTAAAAAATAATTTTATTTTTTGGATGAATTTATATAAAAGAAACATATTATTTACATAAATTATAGTTATATGAAAAAAGTTTTTTTTTTTAATTTATAATTATAAAGACCATAAACTGCATAAGCAAAACTTTTTAAATGATAAAATAAATAATATAAAAGTATTTTTTTAATTCTTATCTAACCGATAACAAAAGTAATTTAAATATAATTTGTTAGATCTATTGCTTTTTGAACTAATCTAAAATGTTAATTTATAAATAGGTTGTTTTATAATCCATGTAAAAGTGAGTTAAAATATAAAATTTTAGAGTCGCATGTCAATGAATCTTAAAGATAATGAATTATTACTTATATTAATATTTTTGGATATTTTAACAAATATTAATCTTGTTTTAATTTAAATATGTCAATGATAAACTTCTCATTTCATTATTTAATTTTTTTTGTTAACTCATTTGTTTTGGTACACAACATTAATCAAAATTGCATATTATTTATTTACAAACTCAATATATATATATAAATCATCAAAGTGTATTCTTAAGCTAACTTACATTATTGAGCTTCTCTTTGCAGTTTGTGTGATGAATTTCCACAATCTTGTATATTTTACAATCTTAAGTAAGTTGCTTTTATTATTATTTATTACTTTATAATTTATCTATTGGTATATTGCAATATCAATCTTTCTATTTTTCTCATCAACTGTCTACTTAACTTAATCTTTTCAAATTATCAAAGGAATATAGGTATACTTATCTTGAGCACTTTCTAAATCGATTATTTTATAAATAATATTAAAAGACATTTTTTATATTGATTGTTTAAAATTAATTTAAAATATTTTTAATTTTTTATATCAATTATATAAAGAGTGAAATGTTATTTTTAATCAATGCTAAAAGTAATTTCTATACTAATAAAATTGATAAATTCAATATATATAAGTGTCTGTTTGGTGTAAGGAATTAAGTATCAAATTAGAATTGGAATTGGGCTTCATAATTTTAATTATCATATTTAAATATCTATTTGAAATTTGAATTATAATTCATGGACCAATTTCATAGGATTTTATAACAATTAAATTTGGCTGACTTCAGTTTCTAACTTGCATTCTAAGAATTTGAATTCCTAAAATCATAATTCACAAATACACTCTCACGATCCTTTATGTATGAACCCCAAAGGAGGGCACCCTTAGGTGTCAAACCAAAAGGAACTATTGGTTTACAAGACCAATAGGCCAGGTTGGCTCTACCATAAGGAGTCAACACACAAAATATAAAGAAAGCATTTTGCGAGACTCACATAGTAGAGATGCCTAAGAGGTATTCGTAATCGTTGCAGCGACTAGGACATTGGCTTAATAGGCCAAACGCTTTAGGGCAACAAAATCGAAAACCTTCTAGACAAGGCCGAATCGGACCAACTGAGAGTTGATCGATTCAACTTGCCATTTTCGGTTCATGAATGGTGTGTCTAAGAGATCCTGTATTCTCTTCATTTCCATGGTTTCTTGTCTTTGTGATTCTTATTTTTCCTAGATACTTTCTTACCCAAGTACTTTCTTCCTCTCTCTTTCTTCCTTTCTTTGTTCTCTCTTTTTCCTATACATCTTTCTTCATATTCTTATGTTGTCTTATTTTTTTGTATTCTATTCTCCTTTTAACTCCACTTTTATATTGATTATTAATACCATTTATTTTTCTATGTTCTCTTATTTTTCTTTATTCTCTTCTTTCTTGTTTTACATGGTTTTTCTCTTCCTCTTATCCTTCCTATTCTTCTTTTATTGCAAACTATATTGTATTATTATTTTGCACTTCTTACACTTGCTAAAAATTATACTGTTTATGTTAATTGTATAATGAATTGTTTAATATTTTTCTTGAATTATTAGATGTTGAAGAAAATATTAGAAATTAATTCAAGAACTATTAAGAGTACAAAAAAACAAAAAAGAGAAAATCAGTGCTCGATTCAACAGAGTGATAAAGATAGTAAATTTTATACTTTGAGACGATTATACCATGGAACTGATGAAAATTGTTATAATTAATTAAGTCTTACTAAACAAGTTTTTTTTTTTTTTTTAGTTTTATAACATTTTACGTGAAAGAGGAGGACCACACGATACTTATCATGTAAGCATAGAAGAATCATGTAATGTTTTTACTTATTTTATCTCATGGTCTCAAAATAAGAGTTCTTAGAAGTACTTATATTCAATTTGTATTTTCAATTTTGAGAATTAAATTATATTTATGAGCATTCATATGCTTTCATCTAATTTATGAGAAAGATAGTTTATAATATAATGTTAAGTTTTAATGATAAATTAAACATAAAAAATAAATTTACTATGTCATATTTTTGAAAAATAAATATTAAATTATCATCTTTAACTATTTATTTAATGATTATTTTATATTTTTAATTAATACATTATTTTTAAAAAAGAAATATTAAATTATTATCTTTAACTATATGAACTTTTTAGAAAGTAGGCTTCATAAATTCCTCTACTCTTGTGAAATATATATATCTTGCAATTTTTATTATCTTAGTGTGTCTTTAGAGAAACCTTTGTAACAAAACTCAGTATATATTTTCCAACTCAACACAAAAGTTATAATATATCATGTTAACTCAAACTTAAATGTAGAGACAAAATCAATTATATTGTAAAATTGCTTAACATATTGGCACAAATATCAAATCATCTTTAGTTCTTCAAACTCAAGTTTAAAGATTTCTAACGTTCATCCAAACATACGCTTAGACTATCTTTAATGAACGCAAAATATTGACTTTTTTTTTTTTTTTAATATTGTTCACTCTTGTATTTCTTTAAAAAATTGAACTGTAATAGTATAAAATGAGTTGTCATTCCTAGTTCACCAGAAATTATTAAAATTAGCTCAATTCCTTCACATTATTTAATTTAATAAATGAAACTTTAGCAATAGTTTATTTAGATTATATGATCTAAATTTGACCTTTACAACTCTTACGTTTTTAAGCAAGCATAGGCGTTGTATCAAATTTAAAAGATTGCGTGTGATTGATTTTTTTTCATATAACCTATATCTGTGTACGTTTGTAATTTAATGTAAGTAACGCATGTAGTGATTAACATACTCTCCTATGAATCCGGAAACGGCAAAATTGGTAATTAGGGGTACAGGGCAGCAATTTATTCTTTGCTTGTGGAATGACATATTTTCCATTCCTATTTTTCTTATATTAGTCTTTAAAAGAACCTCCTTTTCGTTGGTTTTTAAAATCAAATTAAACGTTTTTGGTGTACTTTCAATATATGGTTTGCTCCCCGTTTCATTGTTTTCCTTAGTTTTTATACAGGGTAACCCTACAAAAAGTTACAAATAATTAGGTGAAGAACTTTACCTCTTTGTTTTTTTCCCCCCCTCAAATTATCTAGTCCTTTAATAGGTGAGATATTAATTTTTTGAGACATAGCTAACATTAAAGCAATGACTTTAAATTTTTTTTTCATGTATCAAAATGAAACTCTGGATCGTGTGTCTGACATGCTGTTTGGTTGGAGAAATATTTTTTATATAATTGAGACATGATTAATATAGCTACAATTATAACAATACCGATAATTTTTCTTAATATTTTGTTATAATTTGTTTCAATAACAATCTCTTCCCACCTTGTACAGTTAAAGATAAATGGTCATAAATAATTTGAATTAATTTAGGTGGCTCGGTTAGAGTCATCATTTAATATTATTCATTCCTTTCTAATGTTTGAAATCAAGCAAGAAAAACGGATGTGAAAGGGTCCTTATTGTGTGGACAAATTCATTCATAACATTCATAGCTATTCTACAAGAAAAACATTAAAATTGCAAGTAAATAAAGCGAGGCAATAACTAGTGAGATGCTAGTTTTCAACTAATCTCCGTGCGATAAAACTGTGAACCATTGAGAATTTCAACGATATCAGTTTCGGAAACTCAGATTAGCGGCATTAGCAATAGTAGATGAACTAGCATTAGCATAAATTTCAAGGGATTTGTTGGTGAAGGCATCACAAAGCCCAAAACCATTCAGCCCAGGCCCAGTAATAGTGGTATGCTCCATCAACATTTTGGTAGCATATTGTGCAACATTCTTCTTTAGCTCCTCCATTGAAAACATTAAATGTTGTAACTCATGCAATCCAAGTTCATCAATGAGGTTCTCCCACCAGAATTGTCTCTGCCTAACTTTCTGCGCTCGATCTAGCTCTTCTCCTCGTTTTTCTCAATATCCAACTGATTAAGGATTTGGGTAAGTTGCATGTTGAGATTACGATGAGCCTCAACAAGTTGGTTAGTACTTTGGTCTAATGGAGAGTTTCGAGTTAAATAGCAATCTATTATGGACTCAACTTCTGGATGGCCAAACGAAAAGGCCTTATCGGCGGGAGAGAAAACAATGATTGCAATTTCTACTCCACAAAGTGTGCAAAGCTCACTAGCCTTTTTGAAAAGTCCTGAACGACGTTTTGAGAATGTAACCTGTAGATGACTCTTTTTTGGTATTTTCTCGATTGGAATCTTTTGGCGACCTGAGCTAGACTTTCTCTTTATCATGATGATGGAAAGGAGAATTGGTGGTAGAAAACAAAAGTAAATTCTAAATGTTGCTTCTTTGATTCTGACTTGGTGATTGTTAGAAGATAAAATAGGGTTTTTATATTTAAGTATTTAGTTTATGACAATTAACAAAATTAATGCTCGTCATATTGTGTTATTAGTCTTTATAATTAGTCCAAGATTGCCAAGTTATGAAATCTTAAGCCTTAATGCACGGTTATATGATATCTCCTATCTCCTAGTTGGCATTATAAGAAGATTTTTGTTTATGAAAAATCAATTATAATTGTGTTAAATATTTTATCGCAACATTTATTTTTCGATATCATAGTTGTAAAATTAATTACATCCAATACAAAATTTAGCCATAAAGAATAATGTTCATAAAAGAAGAATATTGTGTGAAAACACTAATGAATCTTTTTTCTTTAACCCGATCAGGAATAGACTATATATGATAATTATTGATTATTTCAAAATAAAATATATATTATTTGATGGTTTAAAATATCATTATCTTGAAAATCATTAAATAAATTAGTTCTTTTTATGTGTTAAAATGTTATTTTATTATTGCCTCTTTTTTTTATTTTAAACCAATGAAATACTCATTTCTTTTTTATTTTTATATTTTGCATACGTTCCAAGGTGATATTATTGACAATGAACCAGAAGATAGTCACAAGAAAAGATCTCTCAAATGTATAGTGGTTAAACATGTCATTTCGAACCACACATTCCAAATAAACTATAGGCGCTGTAAACCTTTTACATCTCACTACTTGGACGTCCAAAGCCTAACATGGATGCCAAACTCATGTCCAATTATTTACATCAAGTAATGATGAAAACTCCTCACAAGAGGCAATGTAATGCTTGTACAAGAGAAATGATACTTTAGGTCTCGGGTATGCTACTTTTATTCCTTACTTTACACATTAAATCTGCCTTAAATCTTTTTCTTTTTTTTTTCACTTGCATGTTAGAGTGTCTTTTTTTACAACAACTCTTCCTTTTCATCAAATTTTTATCATTTTTAAGCACCGTGGTATCAAAATAATGTTAGCTCTATTTATACCTTACTTAATTAATGATTAAATATATTATATATATATATATATATATATATATTTGTCTTTATATTTGACATAATTAAAAAAAATACTAAAAAGATCCGAGAGCACGAACGATATTGAATGGAATGGAGTTGAATACTAATAATAAACCACAATTTGTTTAATATATATATTTACATTTTAATTTCAGTGAATCCATAATTTTTTTTTAATTCAAAAACGTATGTAACAGTTATTTTGTATTATATTCTTAGTATTATTAAAATATTTTTTCTTCAAAATTTTAATATAATATTTAATATTTATTTAAAAATAAAAATCTCCAGCGTCATACCCTAGTTAAATAAGTTGTGCTATTTAGTAAAAAAATAAAAATAAAAACATAATATACAAAATTTACACGAATCAATTATTTAAAAATTTATTGATTAAATAATTAAAAAGTTTATTAACTTCATCTTTGAGTTTAAGCAGTTAATAATAATAAAATTTTATTAAAAAAAGAAGTATTTATTATATTTTTATAATTTCAGTATAATAATTATTTATTTTTTTTTATAAAAAAATTTTATTTGTGAATGCTTAAAATCCTAAATAAAAATTCTAAAAAAATATTTACTAGACAAAAATCGCATTGGTTGAAATCAGTTATAGTAACTTTCGTACTAAAGCATTATTCAGACAAATAATATGCATAAACGGTTATGTCATTAAATTTCAAGTTCACAATAAATTCATAAATAGGAACATCATTGATTAGGGATTCGCCGAAAACGAATTTTGTCGAGGTTACCTGTTGAGCTGTTTTAATGAATTTTGATTCTCGAGGTTTATTCCTTCTTTCGTTCCTTTTGGGGTTTCTTCATCAATTTTCATTCAAAATATTGATGTTGATGTTTTTTTTACAAACAAAACAATGTACTCAAAACTTCTTGAATAGTCACTGTAATATCTAATTATCTGTCTATAGACTGTTTATTTATATATAAAAACATAAGTAAACGAGTGATTAATTTATATTAGTACATGTGATCCAAATTCTTACATCATTAATAATTTTATATAAAATGTGATATTTATTGATCTAACTGTTAAGTTATAAATATATCATCTTAATTATTTATATCAAAATTAATTAAAATTTAACAACTATACAAATATAAGCAAAGGGTTTTTATACTCATGTATTTTAGAGAAATATATATTATATTAAATTTTATGTGTATAAATAAAATATTAAATAATTTTAAATTAAATTAAAATTTTGTAAATATAATTTATATGCTTGAAATTTTTAATTTAATAGATAATTTTAGAATAATTTTTTATAATAAAAATATTGAATAATATAAAAAATAAATACAAAAAATTAGGGTATGTTTAAATTCTATTTTTAAAATAGTTTTATGCTTTTAAAAATTAATTCTAATATAAATTTATATTAAAATTAATTTTTAAAAACAAAATACTATTCTAAATACAGAAATCAAACATGCTCTTAAACTTTCCTTATACATATTATTTACGATAAAATTTGTAGGTTATAAATAAATAAATTTAAGAGCAATTTGAGAATTAAATTTTAGATCCTCTTAGGTTATTTTAAGTGTGTCATTTAAATACAATGTCCAAATTGATGTCGTAAAAAGAGTATTAAGTAGGAATAATGAATAAAATAAATGCGTAGAACTGAATTGAGTATTGAAGTTTACATAAAATGTGCTAAATAGAGCGTAAATTGCATGAACAAAAAGACGTAAAACAAACTGGAAACGAAATGCAGAAAAGTATATATACAAGGAAAATAATATACGACTCATAGCAACAACTACAATGAGTCTCCTGGTAGTTGGTATCTAGCGTAGTGTAGAGTTTCAGCGTGCAGAGATTTTAGATGTAGTGTCTGGGTGCAAAAAGTCATCTTCAGTAATGTAAAGCTTTGATGTATTTATATAGGCAGAGAAAACCATCATCGTTCTCCTTTTTTCGTAGACACTTCTTAGTGACTGCCCATCATCCATGACTGGCTCTAATCATGCTGTCGGTTGTGGTTTCTTATATAACTGCTATCGCCCACGATCCTTCTTTATATTGTTGATCCTTCATCTGGCGGTAACTGCTGGTAATCACTTCTGAGCCTTTTAGTAATTTTTGAGTCTATCATGTCTCTTATGGGCTTAGAATCTTTTTCTTTTGCTTTTTATTTTTTCGAGCTTGTTTTGAGAGAAATCTGAGAGGCTCATTTAGAATTATGAACTTAGAATAATTTTCCTTTGACTTCTACTTTTCGACTGATTTTGGGGAATCCGAGAGCTCTTCTTGATCCCGTGGACTTAGAATATTTTCTCTATTCATTCCTATTTTTCAAACGATTCTGGAGAGAATTTAGAGCTCCACTAAGTTTGTGGACTTAAAATATTTTCTAACTACTTCTTGTCTTTCGAGCTATTACGAGAGAAATCTAGATTTTGACAAAAACTTCTAAAACAACTCGAAATGCAATTTTTTGACATAGGACTGATGACTCATATTTTATACTCACATTTATAACCTTATTTCATCTTCTAAAATATCTTTTCTTCTTTATTTATTTCATTTAGCATGTTTTTGCATTAAATTGGAGTTTTCATAAATACTTGTTATCTTTACTTTATATTTCATATTTTTTGCTATTCTGACCTTTGTTTACTATTTCGACTATAACTTTTTGTATAGATCTCCTTTTTGGCTAATTCTTTTTGCAATGGATTTCTCACTTCCTGGCTTCAACTTGGACATGTGGATCATGTTGTTTGGAATTTTGAGCTATTTTTTTTTATTAATTTTTGAAGTTCAGACTTAAAATATACTTTTTATATTTAGGGCTTTTATTTAGGGCTTTTTGCTTGTTGCAGCCTTGACCCATTTATTTCTATTTTCATTTAAGACTAGTATATATAGGGGTCAAAGGGTTGATTTTGGACAGTTTCCTTTTCATAATTTTATTTTTTTGTAAAGATTTTTTTCCTGTTTTTGAGAAGAAACCTTTTTCGTTACCATTATTGTCTCCTTTTCAGATTTTGCAACAAGTTTAATTTGTGATTCTACTATGGTTCTCAATTATTCTTTTCTCGTGAATCATCTTGTCTCAAGCGTGGATTGCAAGATCGATTGATCGCTTCGAGTTTGTCTTTTTACCTTCTCGCAATTCTTGATTAAGATTTGTGCATGCATAATTCGATTGAATTTGATTTTATTCTTGAGTGTAATAGTAATCGATTGATTTTTTTTGCATTTGAGATTTAGATAAACTTGGTATAGTAATCTCAGTTCGTGCCTATGATTCTTGGTTTTAATTCACGTTCGTTAATTACTTTCGTTAATTGCTTTTGTTTTGCCTTCTGTTTTGCTTTCAATTCATTTTTTCATTCTCTAGTTTTAATTCGCTTTCTTATTTTAATTTGTGCTTGTTTGCGTTATTGCATTCGTATTAATTAATCTGCGTTACTTTTAATCTGTGTCGTTTTTGTTTTAATTCATTTTCGGGTTCCAACTTATTGATTTAATTCATTTTTTTGGGTCTCGTTTTCTAATTCATTTTATTTTCAATTTTTTTTTGTTTTTTTGTGTTAAATTAAATTCATTTTTGTTCTTAAATTCATTTCCATTTTTAGATCTATTTTTAATTCTATTTTTAGATCCATTTTTAATTCAATATGTTGTTGCCAATTTTATGTTTCTGTTTAAATTCTTAAAAATTACAAAACTCCCAATCTAACCACTATTGTATGCTTAAAATTGAAAACAAAATGGAATTGTGTCCTTGTGAGATGACCTATGTTTGCTCCTTATATTGCAAAATTATTTGAAAAATCTAGTTTTGTTTAAAACCATTACAACGTGATTGGCAAGGGCTTCTCTAGTCCCTCAAAACCTCTTGAA